TCGATGGAGTCCCACCGGTGCGAGAAGGACAAGTTTAGAATAGTCCCAGATTTGAGCGCGTTGACAGAAATGCACACAACGGCTTTGCGCTCATCCACTGGCAGCAGTGGGGGTAAACTAGGCAGACCAAGAGCGATGAGAAGTACTTCATCGACTAAATCAACACCCGTAGCAGCCTTCTGTTGGTCTCGAAGTGGTCCACCACCCATTCTAGCATTGACCTCGATCAGTCGAGGGCCCCGGCTAGTGTACTTGGCCTCTACGTGGAACACTCCACTTGTGAAACCCATGGCGATGACGGACTTCACAGCCAGGTCTTCAAGAGCAGCCACCTGGTCGGATGGTAGTGTACTGGGGAAGATGTCCCACGTTTCGTTAAAATGAGGCTCAAGTGTTGGACCATTATCATGCACACAGACGTAGGTGGCAACTCCATCACTCATGACTATATTCACGTCGACCTCGGAGCCATCTAGATACTCTTCCAACATAAAAGAGCCGAACTCGATAGTGTGGTCAAGATCCCCCTGTTTGTGCACGAATATCCCGTCAATCAGGACCATGTCAGCTATCGAGCCCCTAACATCGTTGAAGACCTCGACCAAGCACTCATAAGTATCCACGCGCTGAACGCCGACGGAGGCCGAACCCGATATTGGTTTCAGCACCGCAGGAAACCCAACGTACTGGGCTGCCTTTCGCAGATCGGCCTCATCGGAGACGATCATATGACGGGTGGTTGGTCCACCAGCGGCTTCAATCACATCACGGGTTCTCTTCTTGTCACGAGCTATCTCGACCGCTTCAACGGGAGGGCCAGGTAGGTTAAATTCCTCACACAGCCGAGCCGTGTGTAAAATGGAAGTCTCCCACACAGTGCATATAGCATCGATGCGGTCGAGTTCTCTCAGGGCCTTCACAGCGTCCCTGTGTAACTGATCGTGGTCATGAGTGTTGATGTCTAGTGGTATGTATTTCTTGACGATACCGTTGACGACGAGGTCTTGCACCCAAGAATTAGGTTCATCAACTATGATAACGTTCACACCCAATTCGGCAGCGCGCTCGTAGACGTGTTGCTTACCTCGGTTCCCAGCAGCAAAGAAGACTATATAGGCACCTTTTAAAAAACTCAGACGGAGGTGTTGCCCGGCGACACCAGGAGCGCGGAGGGAATCTTTGTTAAACCTCTGAAGGTGTGAGAAGTCGACCTCCGACTCGAGGCTGCAATCGCTATGATCAGGCGCGGTCGTCGAGTCTTGGGCCTCATCGACAGTTGCCTTGTTGACGGCTGTCGGTGAAGCAGATGGATGCATCTACGGTCGAATAGGGATAAACTGAAGGGGTGAAAAGCTGAGATCAATAAGATATAGATTGAATAGTAAATATATTCTAATTTCATACATATGTCGTCAATGCACTGCTTTGTAGTGCTCCATGAGGTCGGGATAACACTCTGGGAATTGTCGACGAGGATCAACTAATCTTGAGATGGTGCATGGAACTTCGTTTCGCCTTACACGAAACACTGAGCTTTGAGTTTCGTAAATTTCACATGATAAAAGCTTCTTGTGGATACTGATCCTGTCCAAACCATAATTCTATTGGGCATAAGCCATTATGGCTTAGCCATATGGGAAGGGGCATTTTGGTTAACATGAAGTCCTTTGAGGGGAGTAGCTTCCACTCCATGCCAAACGGACCTGTTTCGACAATGCCAACCCCCAGTTAAGCGATTTCGGTTCAATGACCCATGATGGTAGCTGATTCCTCGAAAGTGCGGTATGAACAAATTCCGCGCCTTTCGGAGCACCAGGTTTCGCCAAATCGCCAACTTTGGTGATTCCTTGTATCTAGGAAATTTAAACAACTTGGCGATATGCGTGATACGACCAGGGTTTTACGGGATTTCGCCAAGCTGGTCGGCTCGCCGTGCAGAATTCAGCGCATCCGCTGAAATCTGCACGGAATTGGCTGCCAAGTCCGCTCGCCGAAGTGATCTATTCTGCGCTTGGATCCAGGTTGCGCCAACCTTGGGTCGCTGGAATCTGCGCTAGGCCGGGGAATCGCCAAAAATTTGATGAAACTCGCACGTTTGGCCAAGACTAGGACGTATTTTGCCTAATCTTTGGCGTAATACCAGTGAAATGCAGATTTCAGCGAGAGTTGGCGATATGCCGCTAGATATATGCTGAGGCGTTCGAATACGGTATGTATTACAGATATCGCCAATTGAGGTGCTCAAATCTGTTACTCACACTGATAGTGCCAACTTCGGCCCTTGAAACCTGCATGCTGCAAAGGACTGCTGAGGCTTGTCAGTTTCACTCTGCTTCTCGGCTTGCTCTTCCCGGACACTTCTCTTACGGTAAGAGTCTTACCTGGTATACTTTACAAGCAGGTTGCTAGGTTAGTTAGACGAGCAGCGTGACCGAGTCGGCT